GGGAAAACCTAAAAGCTGGGGGCATCCGACTAGATCTCACCGAAGCGATGGTGAGCAACGCTCAAACCTAAGGCTAGGGACAAGATAATATATTAGTTAGGTAAGGAAAAAGGAATACAACTGAAGGCTTACTGACCTAGGGACAAGAGGTCGAAACTGAGGTCCCTAGGGCAGCAGAGGCCGGCTTATATACAGGGGGAGTTTAGGGGAGGCTGTGCACACTGGTCCGTGCACAGCTGGTCTGTGCGCAGCATGCTGACGCGGCCCCGGGGGCCGGTGAGTCAGAGAGGCTGTGTCAGCGGAGCCCGAGCTGTGCCGCGCACTGCCACCCCATCTAATCTAATTGTACAGTAGATAACGACGCGTCCATATCCGGTATGTAGTACAGAGGTCGCGGGTTCGAGCCCGCGAAAAGGAAAAAATTAAAAAACGGCTAGACGCCGTACCAACTCGTGACAATGATATCATAGACTGTTCATTCTGCAGTCATTGGTTGTTCGTAGGCTAGGCTGAAATTGAACGGCCCGGCCCATAGACCAATCATCTCGTTCGCTCAGACTCCTTGCAGCAACAATTGACCTCGTCAAAATGTCAAGGGCGGCCTCCTCTGTCAGGACATATGTCTAAAACGCTGGAGTCAGTTTAAGTGAGATAGATAATTGAACTTGCCACGCACAGGTCAGACCGTGCTATGTGAAGTCGCGTCGTTGGAAAAATGCACCTGCCGGAATGATAAGTTAATGTTCTGCAAATGTCTAACATGGCCGCGCGCACTCAGCACAGCTGACCCCATGGTGGACGAAATAAATCAAATGAGTCTGGTCATTCCCTTGCACGCGCCACACTCTATGTGGTACAATATCCGACAAGATGATATCTGTCAGTGCTAGGATACCCCCTGAGCCAATGGGTTACGCAACTTGCAAGCAGACACAAGAAATGTGTAGCTTATAACGAGATGACCACTACATATTACGACCAGCAATGGGCGTTGAGCATGGTCATAGTTTGCGCTCCACACGACGCGCTACCAAGGCTAAAATTACATGAAAATGTTTGCATACCGTATCAAGCGCGGCGAAGAAGGTTGGTATAATTATGGAAAGCGTTGACATCGAGAACGATTGAGAGCTCGAAACTTGTGCTACCGCAGATTGCTCGGGTACTGGGTCAGAGTTGTACGTCATCGTCTTGACATCCGAGAACGGTGAGACCTACACTAACAGCATCTACAAATTGCGCAACGGGAGCTTTGAGCCATTCGGTAGGACTAACGTGTGTTGCGCGATAGACTCCCTCATTTGAAGGCGACTGCGCCCATATTTCATTCACCAGACCTCAGAAGCTATTCATAGACACTCCTTGGGTGCCCAGTATGATCATTGATGTTTGAGTCATGTATTGCCATCTGCCATATGATACCGCTGCGCGGTATCGGCATGTATGTTATGAAATATGTCCCAACGTAAGCAGAAAGCTGAAGTCGTAAATGGTGGACATCACGGGTGTGGATGAAACATGATCTTACCTGATGGACTGCATCCTGCTGACAAAATGTAAAAGAAGCTGGCTGTCACCTTTCGCGATAATCTCGCCAAGGGAAGACATCTTTTCACATCATCTGCAACCTGTCGCCAGATAAGTTCATGAGTATACCGCCTTGAGAGTGGTGAATCTCAATTCGACAGATTGAAACATTCTGCGATAGAAGCCACTTGAAATTAGGGTTAGGTTTGATTGACAGATAGAACACACATACCACCGCCTGCTTTCGTTCTACAGTACTGGTAACACAATATCAGCGTCTCTTGTATCTAGCGATGAGGCCGGAGTTATCTATCTCACACCAAATGGACATATTTAGGGCGCCCGTCAGCTCCTTTGAGCCACGCACGCGTTATGTTGAGTGCGACTGACCGTGACCCCGGATGACCTCCAGAGTCGTGACATGTTGCAAGCTCCGCCTCGAGGAGTATATGCTCTGAGCGACCCCTACTGATCATTGGTCATCTGGAGTCACATTGTTGGAGACCAACGATAGACAAACTTCTCAATTGCCATAGAGTTCAATTGCACATCCCATGGGGGCCTGATAAAGCATCTGAGAATGTCTAAGTCACAGCATTGTGACCAAAATCATTGATATAATAGATCGAGCACCACCAAAAGTACGTCACCTCCGCATATTGATCACACACTATGCATTGTCTCTAATCAGACTGTGATTCTCAACCAGCTCGTGTACCATCGTCCAGTCCTGACATATGACCGTGGGATCTCCGCTTCACACACCCTGGATCGGGATAACCGCCTGGAGCATGGGGTTCACATCGCATAGGATCATCTGGGGCAGGTAGATTAAACAGTAATGCACGTGTTCCGTGTTCCGCTGTGCGCTCACCACATCGCGGACCCGCGCCAGACAGTACGCCTGGTGAGACACCACGAAAGCTAATGGGCCGGAGGGGACGCCGACACTGAGTCGCCCACCTCCTCGCGGGTAAACAGACCCCTACCCAGCTGCAGCTTCAGAGGTGTATATGCGGCATTCTCGGGCATGAGGGATACATCACCACGGTCGAAGAGGTAATGAATAGGGTTGTCGTCTTCGACAAGGGCTGACAGGATTACGGGGATCAGTATTGATGCAACAGCAAAAAGGAGAGTGCTCACTTTGCCCTGAAAGACCCTTCCGCCATGTGTGGTGTGTATTGTGCTTGGCAATAAGTAAACTGTTGAGACTCGTGAGGTGCACCCTGGTATGGTGAGTCACACTGCAGTACATTCACGCTGATGGAACCAAAATGTAAGTGGCAGACTTGTCGTCACACGTGCGCAAAGACGCTTGGCAGATGTACGTTGATGGGCTGCGCTTAGGTTATCGGGTCATGCTTGAATTGAGTATTGTGGTACGAGAATGTCTCCTGACAGATTGAGAAAGATCAGTCTCCACCTAGGAAATGAATTGTTATGACTGACAAATAGAACAAGTGTCAGAAGGCAGCATCAAGGGCATCTAAGACACGCGGTCTGTGACTATGGATCAACACCGTGCGCGCACAACATCGGAGCACCAGCAGCAATAATCTGCGTATAACAAGGTGGTCCTTGCGGAGTGTACAGACTGCTCAGCTTCAGTTGCGACAAAGAATGATGATGCGAAGACCTGAGCGTAGTGTGGAATGAGACTTTCGTGCTAGTCTTCGAGATGGCCCTTTGAGATGCTTCCGAAATACAAAGATGAACTGTCATTCTCTGTGTACCGTGACTACTGTCTGAACGGCCGAGCCATTAGGTGCTTCAGCAGGCGGGAACCACGCGCTTGCCATGACTTCCTAACTCTATAAGTCGATTGACTGTAGCTTCCTTGCAACGGCTTTGAGGCAAAATCAATCTTCAGAATATGAATTCATGTCGTTGGTCTCGATGTATCACGCTCTTGCTGGGAGTGACGACGGTACTGATACCTGAAGAACTAAACCTGCGGTATGTACATAACTGTGACCCGCATGCGTCAGCCTCGTTCCTGCCGGTATACCTCGATCTTAGCTCCTATTTGGAGGCGGGATGCCATGATAAGCTTGTAGACAATCAAGTTCTGGCCAAGCAGAAGCGCTCCATTTTTGAAAACTCTGAGGATATTGCAATGCAAGCATTGTGCATCCCTCACTTTGCTCGAGTCCCTCATGACGTTCTCCGGGGCTGACACTGTACTACTAAGAACACTGACATCACACTATATCTGATGCAGTACAAAGGTGCGACTCATTTGTTTAACTACTGGTTGTAGAAATGAACGTCGGCGTCGGGTTTGAATGAGCGAGCGCGAGGGTATACGGAAGCGAGCGTCGCGGGAGAAGATCAATTTACGAAGTGGTTTGTCTCATCCTCGGGGCGGGGAGGCAAACGTGCGAGGAAACTACATGCGGGAACTCGACCTAATATAGCAAAACCTTATCTAAATAAGGTACGAAGGAACAAGGTACTATCACGCCGCAGCACGACACGTCGGCGAGCCGGTAGTCGGGCATGCGCTCGCCCGGTTGTTCCAACACTGGTACCAGCGGCGAGCGCAAGAGCGGAGAAGTGTCGATCCTTCGTGCGCGTTCGATATAAACAGACCATGACTCATTGTTTCCCATTCAGCATCTCCTCTGCTAAGCAGGCTCATCTTGTGATACCAGCGAATTCCTGCATTACATGCTTCTCTTGATGATGTGACTCATTCGAACCTCGACAATGTACAGGACCGCTTGAAGAACCCTATTGCAATATTTTGGTGATAATCAGTAAGTACATCGGTGTACACTTGGAGCAAGTTACGATCCTGATCTGTCTTTCCCTCGTGACAATCAATATCATCAGGGAGCGAGCATCAAAATTCAAACATAATGTGTATTTTTCAACAATATGATATCAAGTTAAAATCTTTCTCGAGGGAGCATGTTCATTTAAATGTATTTTCTTCTACATTGACAGGTGCGGTATCCGTGAGAGTACTTCGTACGTGGTGATGATTGCCTAGTCACACATAAATAGGTACACGCATGAGGAGATCTTACTATGGTCCTGCCCTCTATCTTCAGCTCATTTGGCTATGCCTGCATTGGCAGAAGATCTTTCGGGGAGCCTGCTGAGCACATTCCACATTGCAATATTGTAAGTGACCCTCCGTACACGGATGTATCAGTTGGCTGATATTCTTGACCACCATCCAGCTTATATGGCACCGCAACCTCTCAGATCTACAATTATTGGCAGAACTTCCCATATGATTCAAAGCTGCACCGTTGGACTGTTGGAGTTGTATGATTAGTGGTGTTGGATTTTGTTTAAGCTGGTACTCCCAACCACTTCACAGGCTTATCGATACAATTCACACTGTGTTCTGTGTAATCGCCATATACTGCTATATAATCATTGACCATGGAGATTTAGAACGCATGATCCATATAGTATGGTCTGTATAGCTTTCTTCTTGCTCCATCACCCTGAACCTTACTCTGTCTGCCTTTAGGAGTCTGGCCGTGGGTTAACCTGTGTTCTCCTCATTTTGGTGGCTAAATCACGCTCATACAGGCTACAGTCACGACTGAGGTCCGTGACCATGCACCTGAATCCTCTTGAGAGTTACTCACAAGTAGTCCTTCATAGGTGATGCTTGCGGGGATTGTTCAAAGGCATGTTAAATCACAACAGCAGATTCAAACTGAAATTCATCCGGACTATGGCAGTTTCTACATTCGACGAGTTTGGATTTGTACGTCTATCCGTGCTTGGAATTTTGACCTATTTCTGACTGACATGCGGAAGACAGTAAGTCAGAAAAAGGTGACATTATGCATTATTATGGTATGTTAGTCCTGATACATAATCTGAAACATTCTTAAATGAAGAGCAGGGTGTAGGCCTGCTTGCTCGTATAGGTGTGTACATGATGGCAGATTAGACCATTGATTGTATTCACCTTGAGCCTCAGGACTTGGTTACAGTAAATTCGCTATTTTATCTCAAATGTGGTACAACTGACGAGGATGAGCATAGCCACAGTGATGTTCATGCGAGTGCCTGAACATCTCCCAGAAAGGGTGTACCTGAATAACACAATGTAGGTTCAAATTCGACATTATTTCACAGTTTCGACAAAATACCAGTCCAGTCGTGAGTCCATGGCCGTCTTGGCGGTGACCACTCTCCATACCCTCCTTCAATGCAGATAACTGTGAGCTGCGGCTTGAGCTCCGCTGCCGCTATCGATCTTTTACTTGCTATTACGCTGGTCTACTATAGACTGAAGATGCCTAGACGCGCTCATGAGTAAGTGTCACTGCATGTTGTACTGCCGAGTTCTGAAACTGTGATGCATAGGAATTTACATGTGGTCGAAGCCCTCCAGTATTATTTAGTCAACACTGGATTAATAACAATGTGCGTGCTTGCTTCTGTGTATGGAACCTGCTCGTTTTATACTGGGACACAAGGCTCGTCTCTCTAATGATCGTTCCTCCTGTGCGTGCTTTCTCTCCCAACTACTATGCCTAGACCATCAGGCCCTCAGCACATTGCGTATATTTACCTGCTCGCAGTTTATACACATGGGGCATACTCTGGTATTCGCTGGTCTGATCCAAGTTCAAGCAAAATGTAAGACCTTTATGTGCGAATGATGTGGCAAGCCGAAATCATGATCTCCTGCACTCCAGTGTATACGAACACTTTTATTGCCACGTACGCATTATATCCTTGTGTCTCAGACTAACTCACAATGTGTTGATGCACGTGTACAGCATGTCGGAACGTGCGGAAATTCAAGCTACAGTCAAGGAAGCAAGATATATAGAACTTGCCAGGCGGATTACTGTGAGCCGCCCGCATAATCAATCATCTGTGAGGCCCTTCGATCTATCATGCAGAGGATTCCGTTGATGCAAAGTACTGCAGCGCGTCGAGCTCTACCACCAGGATGACAAGCTTACTGGTGAGGACATGTCCATAGATGCGATCCCTGCCACCATTCCGGCTGTCTCATCTGGTGGGTACTGCAGCGAGGTAAATACCTAGGCAATTGGGAGTCTACCTACTTAATCGAGTTGAGTAACACAAACAGTGTTGAACAAGACAGTGAATGAGCGGACACGGGGTATAAATTCGTGGGTGTTGCTGTGATGTTCGGTGCTAGCAAAGGACCGTCTCAGCACTTCTTCCTACGTGATCTGCTGGTGTGTGTAAATGTAAAGGGGATGCTCGTAATGCCGACACTCATTCCGCTTCGACTGCGGTCTATACATTCCGTTAGCTAAGAGCTTGTATAACGCAAATGTGAACAATGAGACTACCTTCTACTGTCAGGACAATGACAGCGAGGGGTGGCAATCCAATTCCCTCCGGGGTGTAATCGTCCTCATGGGCCACGATGATTGCATGCTCGGCATCTCCATGTTCCAGCAGTTGCACTGCTAGGACAAGATCCACCGCACTTCAGAAAGGTAGTAACTTGATGCTTAATGTAGGTCGTACATGACACTGCCTGGATTATGCTCCACAGACGATGCATCATCTTTGTGATCAGACAATGCGAGGAAACCGCCAAGCGGAATGAAAGTGGACGAGCTATAAAGACACTGTGTAGCATGATTCGCGACGGTCAACTGGAAGAGGCATCTGAAAATTGTAAGACAAAGAAACGTTAACATGCATCACTGCCACCGGGACAGCGCACATGTGCATTGAATATACCTTCCCATACACTGAATGGAACCGAGTTGGTATGCATGGAATAATGCATGAGGTCTCGTCTCGCATAATGAATAAGCTTAAGGATTTTTCGTGGGATTAACCTACATTTGGGTTTATTTACGCTAATTATGTATTGTAACATCAGCCTAACGTAGGTAGACTATCCCTATCGGGACCCTGGACCATTTACCGTAACTTAGGCCCAAAATACGGCTAGGACTCCGGATGAATGTAGCCAGACATTTCCCCTCATAATGCATAGGCAAATCAGAGTACCGACCTGGTGCTTTGTGAAAAGGTAGACCGTAGTTTGAGGAACTAACCATTGGTACATATTGCGAGGCCACCAACAAGCACCAAGGATCATCGCCTCGGTACGACGGCAAGGATAAGTATGGACGTTCGCCGTATGTCGCTGTGATGGTGGCCGCTCGTTACAAGCAAAGACATCCAGAAACGTCACAAAGCACGCCAATAAATCCAATATATATTCGGCGGGTCGTTTCAGCGACACAGAACGTAGAAGAACGTTCTATCACACCGCCAACTCAGTCCCCACGAATGGAGGAACAGATGACGAAGTGAATTCCCGTTGACTCCTGCTAAAGATCAGACCGCTTCTAGATTTTCTCAAGTATTTCGGATCCGGAGTAAAGAGAACACCGCCGTAGATCGAGCAGAGATGATGCGATGACCGCTGCATCATCTGAACGGCATCGGCACGCTTGGACCTCAGAAGCTGAGCTGCATATGCACGACACAGCATCATAACACGAGGAAGGGGCGTGAAAAGGTCTATCAGTAGATGCTGGGGCCAGCACCTTGAGAGAATAAGGCTGCTTATGGTTCGTCTTGTTCCCCGCCCCTCCACAATAAGAGGCCCACTGCCTGGCAACCTGCCCATTCTGTCCTAATTAACAATATTCGTAAGCCGTCGGAGTTTCTACCCGGTCAGAAGAAGCTCACATACCGCTGATGCAGGCTGTGCATGAGGTCCCAAGCGTGATGCAGACGTCCGACGGTCCTCGCCCCCCCGAGTTAGACGCTCGACGGGCGCCAAGGTCCCTGTACACCTATATAAAACGAGCGATGTAAGCATTCGTCTCCCCCATCACATCGTAGACCCATACTCTCCCCGATATTCTCCTCGCAACATGTCCTTCCAAGGTTTTGATTTGAGTAAATACTTCGACAACCTCCAACCTCTGATAGCACCCTATGAGCAAATACCCGAGCAAGTAGAGGCTTACCACTTGACGCCGACGCCACCGAAGCTCTTCATGCCCGTCTCACCGCAAGCATCAAGCCATCCCCACCAAGGCGCTCCCTCATACCGAGAGTTCGACGAGGTATGTCAGTCTGCATCCTGTTGGAGGTTTGCATTAACGCCGCAGACGACATAGTTTAACCATGCCCACTATACCCCAGTCCCGTCCAACCCTCTCCAGTTATTGCTTGATGGTGTAGGATGGCCGAGTTCGTCTGGAACGATGGACACATATTATAGGTGCGTGAAGGTGCTTTATACTCAGATGACTGCCGTCTCACCGATTCGGGCATCTAGTGAACCGCGCGTATCGTCGGCTGCCGTGCAGTCGATGAACGCTTACACTGGGCCATATGGAGAATTCGGTGTATCCGAGTTCTACGCGCCGTCACCACCTCAGGTTACATACCCGCAACCTGCTCCCACGCATCAAGCCGCGCTGCGTCTGCAAGGCGAGCCATCAACAGCGATATACCTGAGCGACAACCAGTGGCCGTCGATGATTGGTCTTCCGACCGTCCATGCGCCGCTGACACCTCCCTCGCCGCCCATGACGCTGGCAAGTACAGCGTCTTCTCCCTCATCAATGGCGTCCTTATCTTCCGGGTACTTCGGTGTGCCGGGAAGCGCACGTGAGCTTTCTACACCCCTGCATGGTGAGTTTCCATTTGAAGTGGTCTGCGGTCTGCGTTAATCCCATATCTGCTAGGAACCTACGACAACGAGCATGGGCCAATGGCCATCTTCTCGCCCATGCCGCCGTCTCCTTTGCCAATCGCTGGGCCATCTACCCAGCAGTATACCATTCATAAAGGACGGCTCATCGCATCCAGCCGTCGCGTCGCGGCGGCTTGCGCACCAACTTCAGGCTCGGGTACACACTACGTACCCAGCCTTAGCCCTTCTGGCCTCCCTACTGGAGGGCAGAAAAAATCTAACACTGGATACGAAGGATACGTACCGAACGCCGCTATCAACGGCAACACGGACGTATTCCTCGACAACAACAACAACAACATCGATTACTGCGGGAAGGCTGTCGGCAAGCATGTCGCCGACAATGGTGATGAGCTTGCTGACGCAGTCCAACCTGCAGCCAAACGGCCTCGCGTCTCCCCTTCTGCTGGCTTGTCTTCGGCTCGCACGAAAACGGACGCGAAACCTCGGCGAAAGGGCGTGCAGTCGAAACCCGCTGCGCCTCCACTGCCTGACCCTCGTGAGCAGCATGTGCAGCAGGAGAGCCGCAAGAGGAAACATAAGGGCGACGACGACGACATCACGACGATCTCCATCAAGCCTTCCAAGAAAGCCCGGCAGGCTGTTACACAAAGCCAGCATCTAGAAGGCGGTGGCTCTAAGAGGAGCAACATCAACAAGAATCTGTTCTGCCCGTTCGACTGTAGAAAGGAGGCATTCCACAGCAAATACGAGCGGAACAGGCACCTCATAGAAAGCTGCCAGCGCAATCCCGATCGCCAAGAACCCCAGCTGCCATGTCCACACTGCGGCAAGAATCTCAGACGGGTTTGGACACTCAAGAGGCACTTGACCCCTCGAACCGGAGAATGCATCAGGATAGAAAAAGAAAGGAAGACTCTGGCTTCCGCTGAGCAAAGATAGAGAATATGCTGTAGCTGGGCGATTCTATATCCACGTACCAGTCTCAGTGCGTACCATTTCCCTCCTGTCGTCGACGCTCTTCATACTTATCGCCTGTGTTTTCCTTCCCTAGGTTTCGTGGCTTCGTACCTTCCTTGATTACCCGGTTGCGCACGCATCGTATACCCAGATATCTAGATACCCAGACATCCGAATACCCAAATACCCCAGATGCCCAGATACCCGAGCGTCGCGGCTTTTCTTCACGAGGTTTCATAGCATCGTCACGTCTTGTTCTTTACCCTGCATTGATTGAAGAGGTCTGTGAGCTTGTCCTCTCTCTGTAGTTCTGCACTGGAATCAATGATCGTTCGCGTAAATGACGAAAAGTGCAACGTTGCCCACAATGCATTCGGATCGATCTTAGCGGGAATGTGGAACACGAGCCACGAGCTCGCGCATAGGTATGAAGGACGAAGTGCATCGCCAAAGCATCACGATCGGAGTACCATGTCGATACAACACTGTCCATGCGAAGACAGATCGTTCGACTCTTACACGATCCGCTCAGCTTGTCGTTACGAAGACACAACAGCATTCGGCCAACGTGCTTGCATTGGCACAATAGACTCGGAAACGCAGCCGTCGACAGAGGGCGCATATAGCCATTAAGAGAAAGTAATAATTCGCGTGATTCTCGACGCATAGACGATATGTATCGTGAATGTGCGCCTTGCGAAGGCATGAGACTAACGTGATAGTGCAGACTCTGTACAGCGTATTCCAGCGGCATCTGGCGGTTACTCTAGAATGCCTGTACATGTATAGTCGGGGACGACATAACGCCCCGATAATTGTAGATGATTGCAGGCATGGACCGTCAACGCACTGATCGTATCGTGTACGATTCTAAAGACAATGGCGATGCAAGGTCTATTTAATGCCTGTCCGGAAAGCCGAGACTCGGAGAACACAACATGAAACCTGCGCGGCCAATTTTATAGTAACGATGGATGTTCGTGAACGTACCTGACAGGTAGTCCCGGTTGACAATTGAGACAATAATGCAACGGAAGATCCTGCGAGTCCGCAGCGACGTCAAGCTGGATTCGATCTTCGAATTGTATGGCTATAGGGCCCAAGCGTCGCGCAAAGATCCGAGACTAGAAAGCACCTGGAGTTTAACGAGTACTGATTCACTGGCATCGTCCTTGTAGAATAAAATGAGAGGTCGTGACAAGGATCGGCGAGAAAACACAGAGGACAACGGTGGACGCAAGGACGGGTATAAAGTTTGCAAGATGCCAGTCGCATCCACGTGGATCTCGGCTCACCCCGGTGGCACCTGGCCCTGTGGCTAGCCGTTTTGCCTACCTTTGTACTGACCGTATACTTATTCCTAAGTCCACCGCTTGAAAACCCCGCTATCTACCATTCAACGGAGTGTGTGTTCTACACGTCACCAATATATTTTGCTTCCATGAAGATCATGATTCATTGCAGCCCAACTTGAAGGCGAACTGACTGTGGGCTATCGACGCTGAGGAACCCGACTCGGGTGTTGCGACCGTGATTAGTTTATTAGGGCCGAAGCAGTTGAATGACAATGCACTTAAATCTCTTTCGCGCTGGCGCATTCTCGTCTCATGGGAATTAGGCGCCTAGAAAATGGTATCGCTGACAATGACTATTCGCATTCACGAAATTGCCGCTTCATACACCGGAAAATATATAGGCTGCACGTCAGTTCTAGCAATACAATACGATCAGTTATGACAGGGGACTGACGCATTCCAAGGGTTGCATAAAGACATCGCTATACTCGACAATCTGCAAGTCTCGTATGCGTCTGACCGGATCCGACCCCTCTCCGGACGTCTTCGACACTCGGTTGAACCCGACAGACGTCATAGGGCGTAATAGCGTCGCGTCTCTACTCTGGCCGAACTCCGCAGATACCGTGCAAGTCGCGGATGCACTGGCCATTCACGGGGACTTGGACTGCCAAGTTGACAGAACATAATCTTCTGGTTGGAATTGATGCGTCAAAACGTTGCCATGAATGTCCTAGATGAAGCCCCTTATATTGCGAACACCGCTCAACCACGCAACCTAACACACGGACATGCCAAGGGTCGAATCTGCCTCTGTGCTCATGATTACTGATCTGAAAATAAGTATGAAGCTTAATACGGCACCACGCTGTGACAAGGAACAATCACATGATATAGCCAACACATGTATATATCACATGCATCAAAGCTGCGCACGACGAACAGAACGGAGAATATCCAGGACGACAGCCCGACAGAGCGAGAGTAGTTTGAATCGAGTTCCGCAGTTGTAAAAGCACCATATACGCGAGCCGAAGGACAAACAACACCTGCAATCATCACCCTGTCTTAGAGAGGGCGCGTATACCGCCCAGTGAGATTTGATGTTGACACGTCTTCCCAACGAGGAGCACACGGGATCAGACAGTGATGTAGATGGCTGCAGGCGACGCACCTACCCGATCCCTGCGACATGTCCAAAACCCACAGAATAACACTCCCTCAATTAGTACTGAGTCTTCGGGACCATGGCCGAGGGACTGTAAGCGTCTTGTTTTGGAGGCATGGGGATATTTCCGTTACATTGGTGAAGACCATTAGGACAGAACCCAGCTAGAGCTCTGGAGCCTGAAGGGGCGGGGCCGGCGGAAGACTCAGTTCTATACCGCGCCCGAAGATGACTGTACAAGCCACTTTGCGCGTTGGAAACTTCGTATCATTCATTCTGTCGTAGTCGCAGTGGTAGTAGTCGATGTAGGGGTGTCATGGCAGGACCCGACATTATATTCCTGAATATTCCTAGTCTCCCGTAGGCATACCATAAATATAATGAACTTTGTTATATGGGGGCGACGATCATTATATATAGGAATATTCCCGAAATGGTATGTCCGGAATAAATTGTAAGCGCGCACCAGTTTCTGCGCTGAACTCATCTCAGACGCTAATGGCCTCTCCCGAAAGTGCAACAACCACGCTGCGTACTGAATGCGAGTGGATGGATGAGTGTGCATGTGTGCTGGGGAAGAGTCTACAGGGTGTTCTAGCTTAGTGAGTGCATCTTACAGCAAACGCGACTGCTGGCAACAACTTCCTCAATTTGAAGGGTTACTGACTAGTTCGACTCACCTCCAGACTTTTACACCTTTGTTCATGAGACAAGTCCTGCTCATTCAACCTTACGACCCTTTCTCCTGGCCGGCTCCTTTCGCTGTGTTGCTTGTCGTTATCAAAAATTATGATTCGCGGTTCTTCGAAGATCGTCAGACGTACAATACTTGCCCAGTGCGTTCGTGGACGTACGGAATGAAAGCAGCGTCATCGGAACAAGGTCGTGGCAACAGTCTTCCCGAATGCGATCAAGATTTACAGCCTTCGATCTGCCTCGACGACGATGATCCGATGGGATGGGAAGAGTGGTACTTTTAGTACGCCAAACACCCTTGTTTAGCGAACGCGAAGCGTATTCTGTGTGCTCCCTTGCAAGGAACTGGCGTCCCCCGCTGGCTTGGCTCGGAAAGATCCTCGCTCATGGAGCACGGTCCGCATGCAATCACACCTCGCGCTTTCTTCCTGGAGTACATACCTGATCCTGTCAGTTTGGGTGGTCTAACGGATCCTCAACTGTTCGCCCCTCCTCTCGTGCGGCCACTTATAGAGAGCGCGAGCGCATTCGCGACGTCGAGAATCGCCCATCAGGAAACATACTCCCCAGCTTCGCTACTCGCCCTGCTAGGACGGTCATCGTTGACCATGGGAGCTGCGTTGTATGCGACGACGAGTCTGACGAAGAGAGGACGGAGATTGTGGAGTGTTGGCGAAACGTCAAATGGGTGAAGCGACTACTTCGACGGGCACTAGGCGCAAACGATTTGGACACGTATTTGACAACAAAATTGCAGGTATGATGCCTCGTTGTGTATCGGGTTTCTTTTGTCAACGCTGATGGCTTTTGGGGCAGAACGACGACGTGTGATTAACCTTGCTCTCGTAATCATGGGGTCTTCGCTTGTACTTAGATTGGCCGAATCCGTCAACACATTCGAACACGCAGCTTGGCCTCGACCTCCGCAAATGTCACATTTCGCCATGTCATTATGCAGTGTCCTGCTCATAAGGCAGGACTGATGTCTTCCACCTTTACTTCCCATCCCTCTCGCGGGAACCCCGGTGCCGCGCCCTGGCTCCCGTCCCACCCTCGAGCCATCATTGCCACCGCGTATAACAACCCACCGGATCCTGGGAAGTATGGCGTCGGCACCTGAGCACCTCCCAGTGGCATCCCTACGTCGTCGAACTGGTAATACGGATCGAGGAGCCAGTCAATCGCCTTATCCGCATCGCCGAGCCGTGCCGCTGACATTGCCAGCATCGGGAAATCCCAGCTATGGAAGGCCTCTTTCAACAAGGTCAAGGCGAGCGCGGATTGCACTTACCCCCACAAATTGGTGATGTTCCATGTTGTCCACACCCTCTCTGCAGTTGCCTTCGCGATCTCGAGGCTTACGTTGGAGGTTTGCGGGAGCCAGCCGTACAAGCCCACCAGCGCTGGGTGGCTATTGGTGTACTCTGTCGTTGTCCAGAAGTCACTCTCGATCCCCTCGTACACGGCGTACAGCCCGTCCTCGATCGGCAAAGGCGCCAAGTTCTCTTTCACCTCACCCCACGCAACCGGCACCTCCTCACCAAGGCGCTCCATCCACGTCTGTGCCAGCTCTAACCCCAGCCGCCAATATGCCAACTCAAACGCGGGGTTTCGCGTCACGTTCGGGCTAGTGTCCTCGCTAACCACGTACATCGGAGGTCCGAGGTCATGCACACCCGTGCTCGTATTGTACCGCGCATAATCCGCCATCCAGTCAGCAGTTTCGTACACGACGTCCCGCCAGCGCTTCAGCGTTTCGCGCGATTGCGTCGCACGGTATTCGTATTCGGCGAAGACAAGCGGGTGAGGTTGCTGCCAGATGAGCAGTTCGTTGATCTCACCAGGCGCCGAGCGGCCGGTGGGGTCCGTCATCTTGGACCATCGTGCACCGTGTTTGTAAGCCTTCTTGGCTTTGTGCGCGCTCTATAGACGTAGGAAGGAAGCGGAAATAGACGTTGACGGAACGGCCAAGAAGATCCCAGTTGTTCCATAATACCCAGTGGCAGTTGTGCCAGAAGAACATCTCCATGTGGAACTTCCCGTACTATCTCGTGTGCCTGGTTAGCATTGGCTTCACGTTCATTCAATAGCGCTGCTTACCCATCCGTCATCCACCAGGCCTGACTACCGGATCGAATGAGCTTTCTTCCACACTGATTTTCAGAGCAATTGCAACGCACCTCCTGAGGCGGCG